TGGGTGTGGTCGTTTTCTGCGATTTCGTGGGCGCACGCAATTTTAAAGCTTGACATGTTTGGTGTCTATTTACCTGACGTGACCCCGTCTTTTATATTTTACCAAAAAATTGGGGTGATAATAAATGTTTCATAACATTTCATAGGGAAACAGGTTTTTTTTAAAACAAAATTTAGGGTACTTTTTTTGTTATAAATTAAAAAAATAAAATCCCCAGTGGTGATTAAATACCACCAAATGAAAGCTCTATCTGTCCCCAAAAAATGGTATAAAATTAATTTCAGTACAACGTTGTATGACAGAATAAATGTCAGTCAAAGTACTGCACCACTGAACACTGAAAAATGGCCTGGCCAGGAAGGGGGATTAACACCGCGGTCAGCAAGTGGTTAATTGTCAGCTCAGCAGTGTTAAAAATGTAAACATTTTCTTAGGTAATTTTACATTATTAGCCACTTCCTTTTTCCTGCCTCACCATAGTTTTGGCATTAGCAGTTTCTATTTTTATTTTACTATCATTCACTCACAATTCAAATAAAATTATTTGTAAAGTACAATAGCTAAACACAGGTGTCTTTGATTAGCAGAGACATTGTCTGGTAATGTGTGGAGTGATCTCAAATTCATGTCTGGAATGTTTACTTTTGCAGATGTCTTGATGACCGCAGCGCACGGACCACTCAATAAAGCCCCAGGCTTCGCTTGTCAGAATGACTTGTAAAGTCTGAAAAGGTTACGCATAAACTCAGAGGACAAGTTGGGGCTAAAGGAATAACATTGCCAATCCATCACATATTGCAAAATATAGTTTTTTTTTATTGTAGACAGCAAAACACTAACTCCCTGGTCACGGCTTAGAGGTATTGTGGGGATTTTTGACTCGGAGATAAGAAATCCAAGCACACTTCACAGCTCAGTGTGACTGTACAGGACAATCAAAGATAACCACCCAAACATTTCAGTGTATATCACATAGTAGTGATAAGCATAGGAAATACTGCCTCCAGTAACACTTCTTAGACAAGTCGCTGAGCAATGACAAAGGTGTGCTTGAGACCTGATTTGATGTATGATAAAGCCGCTATATTATTTGCCTTACCTTAAAGAGGGCCTGAACTTTGGGACAAATGACTACTCACTAGTATTGCCTGTGGTCCCCATTTAGCAGATCTTTGTCCATTTACTGGCTTACTTTTCCTTAATCTACATTGTGCCTGTGTGCAGGTGGCCATCTTGGTAGAGACAGGACATGGCTTCCATTTGTCAGCACTGACCCTTGATGACTACTGGTCTGGTGACTCATTGAGGAAATTTAAAGCAATAGCAGAATGAATAAAGCAGGGAGATCCTTGCACTGCAGGTCCTTAGGTACAGCTTCCTCTCCAGAAAGGAGAACTGTGATCAGCACTGTAGTGACATCACAAAATCTCATTCTATATTATGTGGCGCTAACAAAAGTAGCTGTGCCTTAGATTTTACATTGCAAATATACAGCTACGAGGCTTAAGGCACGGAAATGCCCAGGCACAGGAAGTCTATTGTGTGTTTCAGGAGGAATTCAATGCAAAATATAGGTTTTGTAGGGTTTTTGCTTGGGTACAATTAACATTTCCCGATTGTTCCCATTTATGATAGCAGATCTTCACTTTTTGAGGTCAGCTCCAGTTGAAAGATACCCATGCGTGTAAAAAGGGCATAGCAAAGGTTGGGAGAGTTCAGGAGTGGGCAGGGATACTCATTGCAGCCAGCAGTACACCAAGATTAGACAAAATGGGTACAGTTTCTGTAGAAACAAAACACATATTAAAAGGAAATTTCATAAATATTTAAAAGTATGTTAGAGTTGAGTATAATGAACAATCACCAGCAATGCCGGGATATGTTGAATCACTGAACTGATTGTGTAGTCAGCAATCGTTGGTCATGAAACAATTTCACAATCCGTATAAAAGAGGTTGCTTCATTACAACAGCGGTCACACTTTGGAATACTCTACCAAAGGACGTGGTGATGGCAAAAGTATGTGGATTGGGTTCCATCCATTTCCAGCTAGAATTGGTAGTGTTCATCCTTGGAGTAAATAAGTAATCTGAAAGCACTCATGGGACCACAAGGGTTTTGTTTTACCTTATTCTGGATCAACAGTATTTAGAATATTCATAGAATAGGTCAGACGTTTTATCAAGATCACAATAGCATATATCTTGATACTTGAGGTTTATATTTGATACTGTAACTTCAATAACTTAGATACTTTATAGCACGCATACAACTGTTAGGCATTAAAGCCAAACTCTGGTATCTAAATACACAGTTGAAGCATATATTTGTATTTGTAACACTGTTTTGTCATCCAGCACACCTGCCAGATAACACAGCCATGTCTATGACCTCCACTACAACATCACAGTTCATGAAAAACTTGGTCAAATTACTAGTCTGCTGATTGTGTCCTTCACTGCACAATCAGCCATCATTGCTCTGCTCACTCTGATTTCTCTCTGGCTGGGCACACACCTTACAACCATCGCAAGACTTCTGTCTTGCGATGGTTGTAAGGTACTTAAAAAAACGTACGATCTGCCTATGTTGCATAGGCAGATCGTAATTGTGATGATCGCAAGCCACGCCCCCTGAGGGGCGGGCTTCCGATGACCGCAACGCCGAACGGGCAGTGTGCGCTTGCGCTCGCCGGCCCGTACGACTGTTATCGTACGGACATGCCACAAACCCGCCGAACATCGTACGATGCTCGGCGGGTTTTCGAACATGTCCGTAAGTTTAAAGTCGTGCGACCTTACAGTAGTAGAGGTCACACGGCTTACACACACCTTACGATAATCGTACAATCGCGGGATTTCCCGCGATTATCGTAAGGTGTGTGGGGACCTTTAGTCAGCATGTTCACGGTCAGCACATGTGAACTGCGGAAGAAACAGATTGGCTCAAAATGCTGGCTCTCCCTCTCCCAATATGAAACCAGCTGTGCAGATATTCAATGAAACTAACACAGATGAGCTAAAAAAGTTAAGTTGCATTTACAAGTTGTATCCCACTTCAATATAATAACTGTCCTTTTACTTCTTCTTATCCAACACAATACTTCTTCTCATCCAACACAAGTATTACCTTTTGTATAACTTGCCCCTCCTACTATATTGTAAGCTCTCATGAGCAGGGCCCTCCTAACCCTCCTGTACTGAAATTGTATTGCAACTGTAAAGTGCAGTTACAGTTTTGACCTGTGACAGTCTCATTGTCACAGGTCGGCTAGAACTATGAGGTGAGTGAAAGGCACTCACCTCATAGTTCTCCTTTAATCATCTTTAGCACTTGCATAGAAGTTCTAACACAGTTCTTTTTTTTTGTGTTCAAATGTTCCAATGCATATCATAGCTCCCATATCATATTCTTCTATAGGAGATAGGAAATACGGGTTATATACCAAAAGTTGCAATCTTCATGAAAACATAACCAGTCCACTATCTACAATTCTGGATTCCTCAGATGTGACACTGATTCTGTAATTCTGTTGTATTTCTCTTGGAACCTTTTTTAGAATGTGTGGACTATTGTTAACTAACAATGGTTGAACCAGAAAACTGGCATGCTAACGCTTGAACCTGAACATAAAAATGATAAGCATCAGTTTAAAATGTTTTCAGGATCACAAATGTTTTTGTGTTATTTTCTGCAATAAATGTTTTGGTGCAGAGGCCAAACCAATTGATATTGGCAAAACCGCAGCTATTTCTAGAATACTTCTAGAAACAAGTACAAGACCATCACCCGACTGATGAGAAGATCTGGGTACGGAGTCCTTTGCAGAAAAAAGTGAACATGAATACACGAGGGACTGGACTTCCAGTGCTGAAACTAGCATTTTATGTACCAGAATATTTTATATACATTGTTTCTTTCCATTTACCAGAAAGATGAATATAAAACTGTACTTTTTAATAAAATGAAACGTTAGTATATGTTATTTAGTAATGTTTATCATTCATTTGATCATAAAACTTCTGCACAACAAAATATTCCTGTAGGTATCGCTTATAAGCGGTAACTTTCTATCAGACTGTTAAAAGCAAATGGAAATGGAAACATACCATAATCATTAAAAACATTAAAGATTTTGGTCCAGTTTTATATACAATTCTACATGCAGTGACATTGCAAGTTAGCCCCTTAGTTAAGGAGCCAAGTGTATCAATGACCAGTACTTCATAACGCTGGATGTGCTATTTCCCAATCTTCGTGCGGACACTTAGCACCTTTAATGTCTGTCATTTCTTTCTTATGAGTAAGTAAAATCATTGGTACAAAATGTGCAGAAACAATTGTTCTATATTCTTAGCCAAGTGCTATTTGTGTTCTTCCAAAAACTGTATGTTTTCTGATAACCAAGTCTACAAATGTGTGTTCCTTCCTAGTGCTTTTTAATGCTCACCCATTACTTATACCCTGCCTGATGGTTCTGTAACCCAGAGCTAATCAGATTTCATCTTTCACTGGTGTGCCTACACAAATTAATGAAAGGGGATCCATACTCCATAAATAACAGTCAGTAAATGAGTGTTTCATCTAACACTATTGGTGAAATTACGTAATTGTTGTGTTAAAAAATGTTCTAGCTTTTTTGTTTTTCACTTTGCCAATCTCAGTAACGTTTTATTTTGAGCCAGGGCAGTTCCTCCCATTATAATACAACTGGGCTTACTTGATTAGGCAAGATGCAGTAACCAATAGCAACCAGTCATACATTAACCACTTGTAGACTGACTACGATAATTCCTTGTATATATATTATTCCACAACATTGCACAAGCAGACTATTTTTATTAAAAGCATCCTTTGTAGCTGATGTAGGGCAGCATAACGTGCCAATCCAAAGTCAGCAGCTGGCAAGTAGGTTAGAAGCAGTCAGTTTTTATTACATACATAAGTAGACCTACAAGGCTTCCACAGTTCAGATCTTCAATAGGAACATATGTCCTTACCTTATTGCTTCCACTGGCGTAGTCAAATGCTTGAAGAAGATGCAAAGACACCACCAAAAAGCTTGCAACACCCCACAAACAGGTCATATTGGCGTGCGGTGTTCCAGTAATAATTAGGCACTGGATAAGGAGCAGCTACAGATACCTATTTTAATGTACATGGTGTTAAAAGTCCCTTAAAGAAAACAGGCAGATTGCTGACAGCCACTCCAGTAATTGCGGGAAGAGATAATTACTGGCCAGAAATAGAACAGCTGGAAAATGACTTATGTAGATTTCACCCGCTTTCCTCTCTTTTGAATCAACATGCAATGAAATAGACAAATATGGATAGGAGTTCCAGATGATCCAAACAGTACCAATGCCTGGTCATTATCTCTCGATAGAGAGGAGGAACTGATATCTGCAGCAGGGCAAAGCCGTAATCCAAACTGTGTATTGAAAGTTTCTTCACAGCGTTCAAGGAAGCATGTGTGTTAAATGTGATACAGAGCTTGGCAGTAAAGGCAGTCAGACTCTGGCTTCTCTCCCATTCCGGCTCACAGCAGATGACAATAGCCAATAGCCTTGCAGGATTCCTCAAAAATTAGTTACTGCTGATCTCCATTACTGTATATCATTCCTGGATACCCGAGATTGATGCCTTATCTGGGCAGTTGAGCATCACAGTGTTACAGAGCAGTGTGAAATAAAGCAGAAAATGCAAATGAGCGACTTATTGCTAAGTAATCATTTGTGGAAAATCTAAGGATTCGTGGCTAGTAGTAGTTATTCACATTTGGATGGACTTGTTAAATAAGGTTAACGTTCCGTTGCTTATCCAATCAGCTTCTTCAGTTCTGAGAGTGTCAGGTACATACCCAAGACTTTATAGCCACACTGTCCTTCCTTCTGCAGGGTGGCTACTGGTCCCTGTGTGTGTTGAAAAGTAGCCACCATTCCCAGCTGCCTCCCCTGATGGACTACAATCTCAATACAAATTAGTAAACTAAACTAATTTAAACAAGAGATTGTAGTCCATCATGGGAGTGAGCTTGGAGTGATGACTACTTTACAACACACACACAGGGACCATGAGGAACAAAAGTAGCCACCCTCCAGAAGCAAGGGCAGTGTCAGCACAGCTGAGTGATGCACAAATAAGGTCCAGTATTGTTAATAGTCAAGGTACTTAAATGCATTTTTAAGATTTAACTCCTGATTCTTCCAAATTCCCTTATTTTAGTAGCAGGTTCCCTTTCAATAAGACCTACGCAGATGGTCGCATTTAAAATATATATTTATTTGCTTTTTACAATACATAAAGATAGCAAAGTATAAAAGTAATGTATGTATAGAAAAGAATAATGCTTCCATAGCTGGGTTACATTTATTTAATTGCAACTTGAAATGGACCCATAACCATACAGAGTGGAGACAGCCATCTTAATATTCACAAGAATATGACTTAACATTAATAAAGGTAAAAGACCCAGAATGCCTCCTACCATCGCTGCTACCTTTGTGACTAAATGAACATTCATTCAACTAAGTTTCTGCCTCGTAGAAGATATAGTATATTAATGAATATAAGCACAACAAAGTAACAAACAAACAAAAAACACAAGGAAAAGAACAAAAGATTATTATTATGTTGCTCTCAGAAGAGAACCTCTATGACCAGAAAGATTTAAGAATGACCTTGACAATGATGATCATCTTTATCAAAAACCCCAGATATATACTAGTGCAAATTCAACAACAATACACACAAAATAAGCTATTATTAGAAAAATAATTCCCAATCATCCATGACAGGATTGCCTAGTATGATCTCTCTACAGCCAGTGCCACAGTACTCTGTATAGACAGATAGGATCTGCCCGTTCTTATCTATTTCCAATCTTTGACTTCCAAGTTTTGGCCTTTTCAAATCCATTTTTACAAAAGCTGTAATCTTCAATTGTCTGAGCAATCTCCTCTTTTGTGTTCATCACAAATGGACCTATAAGTGAAAGTAAAAATCAAATAAATAACTTTTTTCAGATCATATCTAATGGCACAAGTATATAGCAATGTTTCCTGCAGCCCTTATGAATATGAAGGGGTGGATAAGGCTGGGTGAGTCTGCTTCACTTAGAGGTCCAATTAGGCTGAAATTGCTAGGACTGGGCAATGTTCATCTACTGTCTATAGCAGATGTTCTACGTTGTGAAGCCATTGCTTATACTGAGGTGTAACCACTGTGCTGCCTTAAAGGTTATCTAAACCAGAAAAAAAAGTAATACATTGCAGATTACCAGTCCTTAGACGTTGTGACTTCATCAGCTTTTTTTTTCCTTTTCTTTTTACCTGGTAATCCTGCAAATACACTTCCTGCCTACGTTGTTTTTTGTTTTCCTCCACTGTATATATGGGGGCATCTGTGGTTGCCCCACTTTCTGTTTTTGGGTTTAAATACACTTTAATTCTCCAGTAATGGTTACTATATAGCAAATGTGGTTATCATCTTAATGACCTCATTGCACACTACATCTATGTTAATAAATGGTAGTCTGGAGACCACTTGCACAACTTTCTATGCTTCTCAATCTTCTTGTGTTAATAATGGGAGGATTATCACACAAGTGCTGCCTTTGTTAATACTGGTATGCTGGACAGCTCATACAGCCTTCTATCATTCCAACGGGCTGGAGACACAGCTTCACAGGTATGTGATCATTCTCCTGACACCAATGATTTACATTGACAGAGTGTGAGAGACCATGCATGAACAGGATATATCCTTTTGATACCAACCCAGTAACAGCCCATATACAGTCCCTCTTGTATGTGTTAGGAAACCTCACATTTTGGCATAATAATGTAACCTTTATATTTAGTAAGGTAACCTTAAAGTTGGTTTGCAGACACCCTACTCCAGAAGGTCAATACCCTTCATGGGCTGTAGTGCAAAGATGGAAAGTGCCTGTATGGCTGTGGGGCTCCACACATACTATGCAAACACTTACTTTATCAAATTCAGTACTTGCATAGCATCCATCCCCACCATAACAGCGCCCAGTGCCTGACAACAGTCCACCCCTGCACTGAGCACACTATACTGAGTAAAAGACAACTGGGGATATCACCTGTGCCCTATACATAGAAGTACTTTTCTTTTTATTGGACTGAAGTGGAATATCATGGCAGTAAGGAAGGTAGGTGTGGACACCCTAGGGTTCCTGCAATTAAGATTTCAAATTATTTTACTAAACATGTAGTGAGAACAGGTTAGCTTCCATTTTTATAGCCTACGCAATTATAAGCTCATACATTTTTTTTAAAGTAAAAGAACATTGGAGGGGAAAAGAGGATCTCATTTATAGCACAGGTGATGAAAGGTTTTGGTCTCTGTTCCTAGTAGGACAGTAGTTTATTTATTGCAGGTATTTATATAGCACCGACAATGTATGCAGTGCTTTACATAAAGCACATTCCCATCAGTCCCTGCCCTCAAGGAGCTTATAATCTAAGGTCTTCATCTCACATACATACAGGGCAATTTAGACAGGAGACAATTAACCTACCAGCATGTCTTTGGAGTGTAGGAGGAAATATGACAGGGAGAATGTGCAAACTTCTTGCAGATTGTGATTGGCTGGGATTGGAATCAGGGACCCCCGATGCTACAAGGCAGAAGCAGTAACCACTATGCCACTGTACTGCCCAGGGTTGCAAGGCTGGGGGACTATATGGGTCTTAAAGTAAGAGAGCGGCAGAAACAGACTCTTCTGCAGATTAAAGGGGAAGAGGACTCACTAATACAAACAGGTGACTGAAGAAATGAGAGGGTACATGCAGCTAAATAAAGGGAGAGGTAATTGTCCCTGCGTCCCATAAATGAGATAGAAATTGGGGAAGAGATACGGCAAGCTACAAATAAAGAAGGGCCGAATGAAAGTCTCAAAAGGAACATCGGTTACCTCTGACCAATACATAATGTGGCTAAAGTCCTATAAATCTATATAAGAACTGAAAGTTTAAGGTTTGGTTTACCTTTTGGACCATGTTTAATTGTACACCTGAATATGGGTGTAAAATGAACCCCATTTACCTGAATTGTGGGGGTTCATCTCCCCGCAGGCTATTTTTTAAAATTTAGTGTGGCTGTGCATGGCCCCACCCACACAGCTGCATCATACATTCACAGATCCTTTGACAGGATCTGTGAATGAAGAAACTACAAGTCCTATAAGCCACCACATCACACATCGTCACTATACTTGTAGTCCAATTATTCTGCCTCCCCTCTATGTTACTGAATGTCCGTATCTTGGTCAGGAATGTGAGGGAGGATCTGAATGAGTCAGAGCATTGTGCCCATGATCCACTGATTGCAGTTGCATTGCCTTACTGGCTCCAATGCAAAAAAATAATAAATGCACATTTTTCTTATGATGTAGTATGCATTTATTATTCTCTTCCAAAAATTGGGCTTTACCTTTAATTCATGACATTGGAATTCTGCTCAAATGCAAAATGTGTGTGTAACAGAAGAATTTACAGCCATGCATTGGAGGTTGATTTAATTGTCATGACAATGTATGAAATCAGTAGACTGTGAATTAGTTATAAGGCACAGATGTGATCTTTGTAAAGAAAGTTTGAGGAGCATTGCTCTATAGAGACCTCCATATGACAAAACAGAAAATGTCTGTATACTTAGTCCTTATTATCTTACAGACTGTCAATAGTTCACTGGCTTAAACATGTCACTTTAGACAGAGCTCTTCAAGATGTTCTGCGCACCAATGACTCCCAGCACATTGTTTACAGAGACATTATCATGTCACCTTAAATGGAACAACATGGCAGACAGCTGTGCAGACTGCTGTTAACCTTGAACACTAAAATACAAATAATAGGGGCAATAATTGTGGCTCATTCTTCAGTCAAAGCCAAGACTGTGACCTAAGCCATTAAACAGCATCTTACACAATAGGAGGATTTAATAACTTGAGATATCTTGGCTTCTAAAACAAAAATGCAGTAATAGTGTTACTGCAATACTAATTATCCCTGTACCCTGAGCCTAAAAGGAAAGCTGACCAAACAAGTCTACTGACCTGTGCTTAAACCACTCAATATCTATAGAACTGTGAAAAAGGAGTGCCACATCAGTGTTTATCCCACCAATCTGAACACAGCAGCCAAACTAATCTCATTTTTGGAACATGTTCCCATTTTCTCCTAAATATAATAATGGACAATAAAGATTTTTGGGAGAAATTTCAAACTTGTTCTTTATGTATAGAATTGTGTAACTACTATTATATCTTAAAATAACACTAAACTCTGGAGTAAAATCTTAAAAATGCATTTAGGTACCTTAAATATTAACAAAAAAGTATCCTCAAATCATCTCTGAATTGGTGCTGACTGTCCTTCCTTCTGGAGAGTGGCTACTTTTGTTCCCCATGGTCCCTGTGTGTGTTGTAAAGTAGCCACCAGTCCAAGCTCACTCCCATGATGGACTACAATCTCATGTTTAGTTTACTAATTTGTATTGAGATTGTAGTCCATGGATTGTAGTCCATGGATTGTAGTCCATGTAGTCCAGTGAGCTTGGATTGGTGGCTACTTTATAACACACACAGGGACCATGGGGAACAAAAGTAGCCACCCTTCAGAAGGAAGGACAGTGTCGGCACCAATTCAGAGATGATTTGAGGATCTACAGCCGAGTGATACACAAATACGATACATTTTTGTTAATAGTTAAAGTACTTGAATGTATTTTTAAGATTTAACTCCTGAATTTAGTGTCACTTTAATGACATACCTTTCTTTTCTGTTGTATTTGCTATAATGAACCTTCTCTTTTTATTTACACAATCTATATCCAGACCTCATTGTAGTAGCCCTTCTGTTGTGTTTGTTTCCGTGTACACTTTCATATTACTTTCAGTCAAGTTTTTTTTTTTTTTTAAAGCCATATTTCTTACCATGCTGCACAACTGGCTCCTTAATGGGCTCTCCGGCAACCAAAACAAAGTGGGCCAGGTCTTCATCCTGCAGTAAAAAATGTATACACTTAGCTTTGTTTAATAATGGTTTCTCATTCACACTGTTCCATTAGACAATTGTCATAGTCTACCGGTCTGAAGTCAAGACAGATCACACTCATTCTTTAGGAAACCATGCCGTGAGGAAAACCTGGAAAATACCATTGCTGATCTCTGGTTGACAATACCAAATTACAGTCATGCTCATCCTCTGGTTTTAATACTTTAAGTCACTAACCCAGATCAAATATGCAGCTGAAGAGTTTTTACTTTTCTCTGACTTTTCCTTGTTCCGGGAAACTGACCCAAAAGGTCCTAAAGCCAGGGGGGGTCAGCATAACAGCCAGACAAACAGCATCTTTAGAAGGCAACAATGGTAGCACTCATAGTTCTCTAATGACAGGTTTACTTTAAACCTTCATTCATGAATATGTCAACAAACAGCATGTGTAGAGGCAACAGAGTGCAGTACACTTCTTATGAAACTTTTTCTTCCTTTATCATCAAGACAGTGCAGACAAATAGCCAATAAAGGAAAAGAACTTCAGCATGATCATAAATGGTAGTACAGGACATCTTATGAAAAGATATTGGGACTTCTTTTATGATTCTAGTCACTCAGGAGGGTTATAATCATTTAGCTGGGTAACACTTAGGACTTTGAGTTGAGAGTAAAGACTGATTTATGAATTCTAAGATGAACTCCGAGTTTGTCTTCTAAAAAGCTGCGTACTGTTGAAAAGATAATAGATAATGAAATCATAACATAGCATCAGATGACTTTTTGACCAATTTCCTTATAATAGAAGAGCTGCTAATTTAAAGGCCCCTTAAAACATTTTGCGCTTGTGCCTCATGCTGTCAACACTTCTATATCATTCTGTCATGATAGCATAGTTAACATAACATCAATAACACAGCAAAGTAGGTGAAACCTATGATGTATTTTTGGACCGGAGTATGATTTTGTTTGTCGTCATTCAGACCTGCTAACCTGCAACATACTGAGGAACACCTAACAAATATGTGCATATGTAGATATCAGAGGCATAAGAAAAGATATATGTACTATACGTCAACCTTAGCAGGCAAGACTCCTGTTCTCTTTTAAACCCACCTTGTTCTCAAAGATGACACGGTCCCCATCATCTAGGACTGCTGTGTGGTGAGCTTCAACCTTCTTCTGAGCATCTTCCGCTCCTTAAATTAAATACATCTTGAGTTCTAAGTTCCATGTTAAATACACACTGGATAAGAAACTGTTGTGATTGAATATTACAATGGAAAAAGGAGAGTAGCAAGTGTCTACAAGGAAATACGTGTATTAAAGTCATCCACCCATGAACGATGATTCACTGTTCATCAACTTGCACATCTCTAGGATTCCAGCAGGGAAATCTGCTGGCCGGAGCTTCGCAGAAGACCTCTTGCCAAAGGATTGAATGAAAAATACACAATATGGAACACGAGTCCAGTGCAGCCACATTTCAAACATGGCAGTGAGGGGCACTATGGTGAAATAGCTGGGCTTTGTAGTCGGTCTATGTGGGAGCTCCTGTCTGCAACGCAATACCAGCCACCCACATCATTTTCCACTTTCTGTTTAACATTATGATAGCTTGTGCTACCAAACATTCATAAATGTAAGTAGCAATAATAATGGTGTTTAATATAAACACTCACCCACACATATTATACCGCTCAATGTATAGATGAATGCAGTCCACCCTGCAAAGTAAACAAAAGAGAAACATGTATGAATGAATACTGCAAACATAATACAAGTTGTATTTTCTAAAAAAAAGGAAAGCTGATTGATAAGAGGCTGTATCTAAAACAACCAGTTAAAGGCAGGAAGTTGTGACAGCAATCAACAATGTGAATATAATGAGAGCTGCACTGTGGAGATATTCTAAAAAGAACATTGCAACGATTAAACAAATCAGCATGTTTTTTTCCCCTTATAAGAGAATATGGAGTTCACTGCCAGACCCCTCAAAAAATGTGTGCCTACCAATCCTCTTCACATCACCCTGGAAGCTGATGATATAGATATACTGTTGGAGATATCATGTTATGGAGGAGGAGAGGCCAAACACTCAGCTATGATCCACATTTCTGCTATTAATAGGCAGAAGACACTAAAACCATAAACGTTGCTTTCACAGAAAGGGTTAAAGATTTTCTAACACTGTAGGTCATATAATGTGGTTATTGTAGACAAAAATAGCTCCTGTCTGAGTTTTTCTTTAATACACAATAAAACATAGCGCATATGCATTAATGTGTGTTGGGTTAAGGCCACCCACCAAAAGGTGAGTGTACAATGTATGTGAAGCTACAATTTCTGCCCGTACATTGCAATGCATGTTATTCTGTCAGCAAGATGCACTGGGATGCCATACAAAATGACACCACATCGCACCAATGCATGTGTATTGCCACAAAGCAATATTGCGCATGGACCCTAAACCGGCACTCCCATCCATGTTAAATGGTTTGTTCCAACTGCCACTTTTTCTGAAGAGATATAACAGATCTAGTGGTGGATCAACAAGTAATAAAAAGAGAATTTATCACACCTGAAAAAATATTTTATCATACCTGAATACCTAACATAAAGCAAATCAATTTCCTTACATGCACCCCATTCCTATACCTAACCATGACCTCTAAGCCTAACCCTACATATAACTAAAGGAAACTTTCCTCTAACCTGACCCTTACTACCACATTGATCCTAGAATAGCACAATTGATCTTCCTATAAGGGAACCGACACACTTTATTATCTCACGGTGGGGATAGGTTCATTTAGAAGGGGAACTATGGACAACATTAAAAATTACATATACTGAATATTGCAGTCTGTAAATAGCATTATCACATTTTTGAGGTATGGCAAATGACCTAGCTGTGAAAAGTGTAAAACAGTTTTGGCTTTACACATATAAGCAAACAAACAAAAAACTGTAGGAGCCACAAAAAGGTTATTAGTGACTAGAGAAAGTCCCTTAAAGCTGAACCAAATGTAGTTATAAAAATATACCAATCAATGCAGCTATGCATACATTTTATATTTAAAGTGATATTAATTCTAAATTGTTTTAAGCTTTTTCAAATGGTGATGAAATCACTTACAATGAATACTACCCCTTAATGTTTAAAAGTTTTAGGTTCCTGCAGAATCAGCTGGTCCCATGAGCACTGGCCCTGATATCCTGTTTTAGGGTGGCTCCTTTCCTTTGCAGGGTCCTATGGAGCCACCCATGTGTGTGCTAGTAAGCTGTGCGTGTCTCCACAAACACATAGGCACAACATGGCAAGTCAGTCTCCTACTCCCCACTCCTCCTTCCTACCCTCTCCCTTCACTGAGCTAGTAGATGACAGCTGATGGAGACGTGCTGCCTTTTCAGGGAAGTTGAGCTAAGAGAGTGGGAGCCAACTGTTTGAAAACATGATGACTAAGTACTTGGACAAAAATGTAAACTAATACTTTGCTGGGCAATGGATATTTGTTCAGATATCCAGTCACATTGGACCCCCACCAGCTGGACCCACGATGGAGTCCCTGAAAATCCTGCACAGATAATGAAAATTCGAAGGGGCCGGGCATCCCCCCGCCCCTCCCATTATGGGAAGTATGATTTGTCATATGTGTCCATGCCTAGACATGCTTAGCTTTAGACAGGGCAGTGGGTAAGAGGGTGAAAGAAAACAGCAGGGGCCCAATGAACCAATAGATCTTGCTATGCACCAATACTCTTATCACTATGTGACATGGCACTACAGTGACAAAGCAAATACAAATGTATAAGCAAATACAAATGTGAAAATCACATAAAAATTACTTTTTAATGTACATGTTAGACTAATAACTCAAAAGTAATACTTCATACCTATTAGAGTCTGTTGACATGGAACATTGCCATTGTACAGTTTTATAAAGTAAAACTATGCCAGGATTCCGTTTCATCTCCAAAGTACATAGTAAGACGCACAACTGCAGGCTCATTACAGAGAACAATTATACACATAAAAAGCCTCTAAAGTTTACCTTCTTTCTTTTACACATATCTGGAACTGTGTTCAAAACCCTGGAACCATGTCAAAGATCTGTTTGCATACAATAAATGACATCCATATGCTTATCATATGCAACATAAAACCCATTCAACGTATACTGTGGAATCCTGAGCGTTTTCAATGTTCTGTAGAGGAGTCTGCATATTGGCTGTGCTCTTTGTGTCGGTGCCTGTCATCCCTTTTATCACATTATGCCACAGTCATCTCCCAGGAATCGCTTTCCAGACTCCAGCAAAGATCTTTTTCCTCCCAAAAAAGTTATCTGTTCAGTCTCATGATTTGTTTATAATAAACGTTGTCTGCGTATTGTGCTCAGAGACATATTTGGACAGAAAATGGAAAGTACATTTTCCAGTGGAATAGTGGAATACTTGCTGCAACAGAAACTTGCTTTCATACAAAATGTAGGCACAGTCTAATATAGTTACATAGTATGTGAGGTTGAAAAAAAAGACACAGGTCCATCAAGTTCGACCTTTATTGTGTAGCATGTGCATGTGTGTATTCGAGTCCCCTGGGGTCTCAGGTTTTATGAGTACCTGTACCCCTGTATGTTACGCTCCCTTAGGATGGTATCTAATTGATTTTTGAATGATTCCATACTCTCTGCTGATACCACCTGCTTGTGGCAGAGAGTTCCAAAATTTAACCACTCTGAGAAGAATCCCCTATGCCCTTTGTGGTCAAATATTTTCTCTACCAATTTTAGGTGGTGGCCTCTAGTCCTTGTTAGGGAGTTTACTGTAAAAAGTTTACTGCTGATGTTGCCATCACCACTAAACATTTTGTACATTAAAATCATGTCCCCTCTTAGTCTCCACACTTCCAGCGTGAACAAGTTTAGATTTAGTAACCTTGTCTCATAGCTTTGGTCCTCTCGCCCCTTCATTAGTTTTGTTGCCCTTCTCTGGACTCTCTCCAGTTCCAGGACATCTTTTCTGCGGATTGGTGACCAAAACTGGAGCGCATACTCCAGATGAGGCCGAACCAGTGATCTATAAAGTGGCAGAATTATCGCTTTGTCTCTCCAGTACATTCCCTTTTTAATACAAGACAGTACTGAGCTTGCAATGCAAGGCTGTGGAAACAAAGCTAGCAATTATTCAATCTATTGTCTACTATGACACACATATCTTTTTCCATTTCTGACTTCCCTAGTGGAGTTCCCATTCATTTGTATTCCGCTTGCCTGTTTTTAACCCCAAGATGCATTACTTTACATTTATCAACAGTTGCCCACTCCCCTATTTTATCCAGGTCCTCTTGTAATGTTATAATGTCTAAGTCCGAGTCTATTACCCTCCCAATTTTAGGATAATTTGCAAACACAGAAACATGGCTATTAACACCTTCCCCAATATCATTAATAAACAGGGCCTAGCACAGAACCCTGGGGCACGCCACTCATTACAGTAGCCCATTGTGAAAAAGAGCCATTTATCAATACTCTCTGGACACGTTCGTGTAGCCAGTTCTCTATCCATGTACACACCATTTCCTCTATCCCCATAGATTTAAGCTTGTGTATTAAGCGGTTTATGTGATCACTTTTCTTTCTCATTCATTGAGGGATACAGAAAGTTTCACCTTCGGGTTGTACTGCCACTGCAGCAGTAGAACCCAAAAGGTAAAAGGCTTCCTGTGTCCCTCAGAATTTTTGTACATGCGGTAACATCTTTTTATTCCTCGTCTACTATTATTATTATTATTATTATTATTAAAAGAAAAGGCTGACATGTGTGGCATTCTTACATATGCTTTTGCTAATCAAAGAGCCATTAATGTAACCTATAAGAAAATCAGGGCATTCTCATAGGGTAAAACTGCCCCAATATTTACCATATTTGATCTAAACCAAATCCCTTTCCCCTTACAACAGTCCTTTCAGTTTCCAAAAAAACTAAACTGTGTAGCCAGCATAGAGAAGGCTGCAGTACAAAGCTGTGTTTTCCTTCGAACATTCCCGTGCAGCTCTACCGAGAAGAATCCATTGCTAGTGGATAGAAAAGGAGGTTGCAAAAAGCAGTGACCTGGAAGGGGTGCTGCAGTAAAGGGCAGTGCTGCAGCACGAAGCAGGGCCAAAGATGTCTACTGGTCCCTATGTCTGTAGCTTCAGTACAAAAAACAAATTCATAGTAACTATGCCCAAAGGCAAATGTTCAACTGCCAACTTGCTTGAATGCCAAATGCAGATTTTGTCAGCACTATAGCAGAAAACGACATAGAAAAAATTACTTGCTGGATTTTAGCTTCAGTTATTTCATGGGATAAAAGACCCATCATTAAAAAAGGTACTAGGTGCATTTGCTTCACCTTTCTTTAGTTCCATTTTTTGTTTAAATCCCTTGGCAGTGCCATAAGGGCTGGTTAAAGGAAACCTGAGAATAATAATGGAAGCCATTACTGATCATTCCTTCTAAAATGGTTTCTGGGTCACTGACCCTCATTTACAGCTTGCATGTTCCACGGCAGTGCCTCAAAAAGTACTGACATGAGCCAAAATACAGGAGCAAGCATTTTTTAAAAGGAGATCAGCAGTGGCCCATACTTCTTTTATGACCCTGTCACTTTAAAACTGATCTCTGGGGCCCCCAAGGTCTGCAAGGGTTAAATGCGCTCACAAAATGTTAGAAAATGAACTTACCCACACCACACTGCCAGCTCTCCCTGCCCCCAATGTTCATACATTTACACACCAAGCACAGCCCTCCATTGTAAATGAGAACAGCACCCACAACCCAGAGCATCAGAGATAAGAGGTGAGTGCCCCAAAGCCTGCTAGAGCAAGGAATAACTCCAAAGAAACACATTTAAGAGGCACTGGGGTTTCTGTGCTTACTCAAATAATCCAGATTCAGATAAGTTTGCAAATGAGCTCACATGGAGCCTGGCAAGGCAGATCCCAAATAAAACAGGCCCCACTTGTTTGGCTACAAGAAGTGACTCAATGTTCAGAAATAAAAGGCCAAACCAAGAAAAGGTGAGAGAGTCCAAAACTGGCTTTAATTGTTCACAATTTTATAGAACAATAAATGACCAACGTGTTTCCGGGGCAACAACACTCTCCCTGTATGAGGGTTTAGAATGGGATAAGGATTTGATTGGACTCAAAATATAGTATAACCAAATTAATCTTTATAGGATTTGATAAAAAAGACCTCCTTTAGGACTGAAATTGTGATTGGCAGCAGCAGAGCTGGGTTGATCAAATTGTGAACAAAGCACCTTTGAACTCTTTCACCTTTTGATTTGGCCCCCTTTATTTCTGATCATAGATGCAAGGGATAAGGTAAAGTATTAAATAGGGTTGCACAGATACCAAGTACAGTACTCGGTACAAGTACGAGTACATGTACCGATACTTTTGAGCTCCAAGACTAGACTAGAGAAAAATTAAAAAATTAGGAGGCAGTTGTCATTTGTAAGGAGCACACGGAGCTCCTGGGATTTGTACATCTCTGTTTTAATGTATGATTTTTTTTAAATAAATATAAAAAAGGGATGCACAGATACCAGTTTTGCGAGTACAAGTACTGGTACTGGGCCAAGTACTTACAAGTACGAGTACTGATACATTTTTGTTTATTGTCATGTGACAGTTTTTCTAAAACAATACAGACTAATGATTTCAGGACAGTGGTGGAGCGCCAGAGCCAGGTCCCAGCTGCAACCACTGCAACCCTGGTAATTCTCATGAAAATGCCAAGTATCGGCACTGGTACTCGAAAAGTATCTGTGCATCCCTAGTATTAAACCTTATTCTTCTACACCTAGAATTAATGTACATTTAACCCTTGCAGTGCAGAGGGGCCCCACTGCAAGGGTCGTTTTTGTGAAATTCTCCAAGTTTAGCTTTATGGGATATGAAAAGGCTGAAAATGTAATAAAAAATTAATTACATAAAATTATACAGTCATGATTTTCCTGGACAAATCACTAATATTCCTCAAAGTCAAGGCATAAACATGCACGCTTAGGGCAGATTCACACCATTTTCCAGACCAGATCTGATCCGGAAAATGGTGTGAACCTGCCTGCAGTTTCAGTGCATCCCAGACCAGACAAAATGAGACATACAGTATTTTTCTGGTCTGGTCTGGAACGGACTGCGCTGGTGTGAACAGAGGCTAGAAATAGCATAGGGATACATTAGGATGCATTTTGGGTCCAGAAACAATCTGGTCTGGTCTGGAGATGATCTGGCTGAGGTGTGAATGGGTCCTTAGTCCATTTAAAACTATATATTCAACTAAAACTACCCTGCACACAGTGTGAGAGTTGCATGATCAGAACCTTCGGGCCTGAAGGGGCAAGTGAATATCTAAAAAAGTCTCCAAAGCCAGTGAGAAGGATCTCTAGCCAGATAAATACATTTACCAGCAAGTCAACAAACTAATTTATTGTTGTGTGGATAGAGTCTGTCTTGAAGACATAACCCAAGCCTGAAGTAAATAGGAGAGCATCTGTGTGAGACAGCAGGTGGAGGCCAGGCAGAGGACTGTACAGCTGTTTGGCATGTCAGTGCTTCATATGTTGGCTGACGTGTAGTCCCAAGCACATGGAGAACCAAACACATTGACACAGCTTGCAGAATCGTGGTGGGACAGTTAACAGCTACAAAACTGAAATGCGGAAACTTCTCCTTTATAAAGATGCAGACTTGGAGTTCCCAGATAGAAAATGCATATATAATGTCACATGAACACAGAATAACTTCAAAGTGCAGAGTCCCTTAGAAAATAGATTTCTGTTTATTGTAGTAAAATTAGTTAACATGGAACTCCAGACAAAAATGTGTTTTCAGTTTTGTATTAAGTGATAAAGGTTTGCTCTGACAGGTTTTTTGCTGCCTGTTTGGATGGCTTTTACATACTTCTCCTCCAGGACACCACACAGGGAGTGTTGAGAAATCTCACATAGTAATAAAATAGGTTCTAACACTTTCCAACTCCATTCCAAAATAAAAGCAAAGTTTTGGCCAGAGTTTTGCTTGGACAAATGGTTTCTGACTGGTTGTTGTAGGTAACTGCATTTAGCATATCCACATTTCTCTTGTGCTGCTTTACTGAATAGGTCCATTTAGTCAAATCAGCCTGGTTACTACTATGAATATACACTGTCTGGCCAAAACAAGTCACCATCTGTATTTAGCTAATCAAATAGGTAAGAGTCTTTCATTGGATGATTTCTACAGTGATTATTATGATTCATCTAGCAAGACGTTATTTGAGTTAATATATTTTTATTTCAAAATACATACACACATATATATATATATATATATATATATATATATATATATATATACATACATACATTCTGGGTATAAACAGATATCAAAGACTTTTACGGCAAGATGTTATTTAACCCTAACTGATGCAGTGAGTAGCTTTTCATTTCTTAAACAACCATGGATTGTTTCTTCCCTGATGGCACATTGGGCATATTCCAAGATGACAATGCCAGGATTCATCATGTTCAAATTGTGAAACAGTGGTTAAGGGAACACAAGACATAATTTTCACACATGGAATGGCCACCACAGAGTCCAGACCTTAACTCCACTAAGAATCTATGGGATGTGCTACAGAATACCTTTTGTAGTGGTCCAACTCTCCCATAATCTCTACAAGATCTTGGTGAAAAATGAATGCAACTCTGGACAGGAATAAATGTTGTGACATTGCATAAGCTAATGAAAACAATGCCATGGTGAATATGTGCCATAATCAAAGCTACAGGCAGTCCAATTAAATATAAGTGAGTAACTTGTTTTCTGGCCAGGCAGTGTTTGCGCTCTCTGTTCTATCCACAATCCCACTTGTTGTGATAGTTAAATCTGGTACTTACACTGCTTGTAATGAAAAACACTAAGGATGTAATAATGAATACAAAGCTGTATTAATCTGTATTTTATATCTGTTCAGCTTTAAACAATACATTTGTATATTCATGCACCCCGGATAAGCCGCTCTCCCTGGCTTACTCTTTAGGGGCACACTAGATGACAGTCACTTGATCCAGCCTTTTATTGACTTATTAAACCCCATTCGCATCTGCAAACGGGGCCAACCCAAGGAGTCTCACAAATGACTGCTGTAGACAGGAGGTGCTGTATAATCGAATGACAGCTGCCACCGCCCACAGCTGTTCACAAGATGGATGACCACATTTGGACGCAGAGTGTTTGCGCCTGGTGCCATCATCTGCAGGTAATCTCAGGCTGTGCGATTACTTGTGAACAGCTGTGGGCAGTGGTCAGTGGATTATACAGCCCAACCCGCCTGTAAGAAATTGCATGAGTCTCATGCAATCGACCCCAGTCGCAGGTGGGAATGGGGCCTCTAGGATGATGGTCTAATATCTATGGGGAAGCATGCTACAAGCCCAAACAAGAGTTCTTTAAAAAAAAAAAAATCAAGAAATCGGGGAGCTGAGAAACCTTGCCTGATCACTACTGCTTTCACCAGCACCAGGCCGATGCACAGGTAGCTCTTCCTATTCAGCTTACAATCCCTACTTTATTGCTATAAATAGAAGCTCTGATACTACTAATGTTACTAGACCACCAAAAGGTCCAAGACGACATTGTGATAGGGTCAGAAAATACACATACTTTAAAGCCCAATTACGGTCTAGATATTCTTTTTTATTTAAAAAGATCTCTCAGGTGCTAGTAAAAAACAAAAACAAACAGCCATATGAAGATGGCCCCCACAATACCTCTTCTTTGACACAAGATCTCGTCGTCCGAGTTGAATGACACCCAGCATAACTCCACCCAAAAGACTGAGGAATACTGAGATTCCACGAGCATCATTCATGGCCCCATCCCATGAGGGGGCATCTCTATACTTCCCTTCTTTTACACTGTACTGGTGCAGAGACCAGAACTGACATTATCACATCGGTGTCACTTTTGGCACAAGTATCGACTGCCCAGCATGAAGAAGCAAAGATGAGGAGGACCCTGCAGCATGACCTAACTGGCCAGAAGACTTCAGAAAAAGTAGGTATTAAAACAAAAAACCTGAAAACATAGGTCAGTGGAAGCCACAAGGGGGGCACAGGATCGATTTGGGGTACCCGAGCCCAGAGTTGGACTTCAAGGAGCTTTTAAGGGCATATAAACATTGACAAACCAGATCTCCTCCATTGATCTATTACAGACCAGTAATCACTCAATATACTTACAAAATATTTCTTGCTACTATACAAGAAAGCTGGATAAGGAAAATGCCAAATGACAGTGATCGTGTCCAGGTAATTTTTTTGTTTTTGTCTTTTTAATATTATGATTGCTTACCTTTAGGCACCTCCTGGATATGCTTTGCTCCTTTTTCTATTTTGAAATCCAGGTACAGGGTTGGTGTTCTTGTGTAAACTTTTGACTGTAGGAAAACAAACAAAATACATAAACATTGTCCAATTTTAGTAAACTATCAATTTTAGAGTGTTTACAAAACCTTTACAAATTAAAGACCACTGAGAACCTTCAATATGTGTCCATGGCAAAATCTGAAAAAGTCCCTTGGCATACTTTGAGGCACTTTACAATTAAGAGTTTCCTATTCTTTATAAACTCGATATTTTTTAATGGTTTTATTACCTAGGAAATAACAAACTAAAAGTGAAGTTTATGAGGGCATACGCTACACATTGGGCTTGATTTACTAAAACGAATATACAAGTGCAGGGCACATGGTACACCTGTGGTGCAGGCTCGCATGAGTGTGTGAATATACAGTAAGGGCATAAAGCAATTGGTCACCTATGATCTGTGCGTACAATGTGGTCTTAGTTTGTGTGTGTCCAAAGAATGCAGCTTTTGGACATTCTGTTCCAATAAGGTGCTCTCAAGAGTCTCACATTGTCCGTTTATAGAATGCCCTGTAACGTTATCTAAATGGAGGCGCTGCAGAGCAAAACAGTTCCCAAACTATATATACACATTTATTTTATCCAAATATCATTGCCAATTCCATAAATCACTATGGAGCCAGGCACTCCAGTGCTTTTTCGGGCTCCATGGCATTTGCATGGTCTGCTAGGACTATAGTTATACCCTTGAATGGAAGGAGCCCAACAAACATGCAGAACAGTGAAATAATGAGCCACGAGGAAG